GTATTATAATATTTCCAAATATAAAATTTAACAGTTTATTTAAAAAGACCCCACTAAGAAGAAGGATTAGACCCCCAGACCACACTATTATATAATTTTATTCTCATATTTCTCTTACATAAGTTTGTGTAATTTCCATGGGCATAAAGAGTTTCAAATGTTGTTTATATTTTATTCAATATAGAAAGAGATAATATAGTATATTCGGATATAGTTGTAAAGGCCTGATTTCTCAATAGACAATCGTCAGTTACACGAGAATATTATCAACATAATCAAAAGCTGACCCGGAGTGGGGAGTAGCATACTTAGTAATTTACTGCAAATAGCACATTTTAGATGGTAATATTAAAGATCAACATTTACCTAATTCTATATATTTATCCTATTAATACCATAGTATTTGAAAGTAAATATGAGAGATTCGTGTCTTTTAATGATCGATGTTTATATATTTCTATAATATAACATTATATATAAACCGTAGTCCGTAGCTAGGGGCCTAGTGTGTAGCCCGTAACAAACACAATCGTAGCAACGACGTAGCGCGTAGCAGCTACAGAGAACAAAGGTACAATGAGCATCATTGCATAAGATATATTTTATCGCATTTATTTGACTATGTGTAAAATTTGATTTTCTTAAATTTTTAACTTAATATCTCCAAAGTAAAGCAACGACCTCACTAGTAAACTTTAAATACAGAACTTTCTCCCAAAATATTTATTTGATTGCATCAGATATACTCCGAAATTGATAGACCGCTTTTAAAAAAATCTTTCACCTACTGGAAGCTACATTATACGAGGGCGAAGTCGGGGAAAAACAACTAGTCTACATTAATATTTTATAAAGGAAAAATATGATTGTTTGTTAACATGGAATAGGCTCTAAAGTACTGGAAGAATTTAAAAAATTGTTTCACCTACGGGAAGCTACATCATACACGACTAACATAGAATGTAATTTGCACGTACGAAGTCGCGGGAAAATAGGTAGTCCTATATATTTTGAAGATTTTTATTTTTATAATCAGAATAGTTATATTTTTATATTTTGGTTTTGCTTTGATCGAAGTGCGTTTCGTAACTACTCAGATATAGCTACTTATTTTTGGTTGGATTCAATTAAGTTTAATTGTAAGTGCTCAGTTATAGATCCATTTATATGAGATGATTGAAAGGCAACATAATTGAAATGAATATATATACATATATTGAATTATACGATGATCAGTTATTAAGTTTGTAAATTGTATACTGTTCAAGACACCAGTAGAATGAAAAAAAAATAACAATCCGATATATGCCCTTGCTACCCACGTATGATGCATTCTCAGAATTTCTTTACATACAAATAAATTTCTAGTCCCGCAGATTATATTGAGTGCAGCATTAGAAGCATTAGATCCAATGACGGAATAAAAAAAAAACCCGAAAATTTCAACAACAACGTCATGAAGCGGATAAACATTATGTTCAATGAAACTCTTTTGTATTCTCTCAAAGGCGTGGCAATTAATCAAATCGACTTCTGGAACATGGTCAACTTTGAAGTAGAATATAATTCCAAAATATTGTGCAGATCCATGCTGTTTAGTAAAATTATACAATTTCGTCATTTATTATCTCAAGCGTATTACTTTTAAGGGTGGTAAGGTGATAAAGTTTAACTCGGTTGCAACACGTTACGCCATTATTAAATCTTTTCTGAATGGCGAAACACCATTTCAATGTTCGAAACCTGCTAGATTAACAAACAGGACTATTGAAAGAACCGTAAATAAATTGCTCAAGATGTTAAACTTTACTTAAGAATTTGAAACTAAGGTAAATTACAAAATATTAAATCATTGTTATCAAATTCTACAAAGCTCAAATGAATTCTAAAAAGAATGAGGCAATACAAAATGAGTTTTTGTACAGTCATAATTTCTTTTATTTAATTGTTTTGCAACGAAACGCAATACTTACAACAGAAAGTCAACTACCTACTATAATACTCTTTTGTTTTGGTTAAAATTCGGTGAACCAAGTATAAGGGATTTTAAAATGAACTTATACAGATAATACTATAACTATTTCGTAGATCTTATCTGTCTTGTTGACTGGCCTTGTAGCTTTGAAAAATTTAGGCAGTGCCTAGATCCTTCAATAACAATATGCAATAAAATTGAAAGGTGCTAAGAATCCAAACGATCAAATAAATTGCACAATAAACAATTTTTCACTTTAGTTTTATTTTCTGTTAAACGTATATGAACACGTCGGTGTTAACAATAATAACGAAAATATATTTATGTTATTGTAGCATGAAATAATTAAACAATATTCCCTGTTTTGATCGGCATAAAAATAGACAAAACATGAATAAAGCCTTTTTGATGAGCAGGATTGCAGCTATTATTGACGTTTATAAATCTCATTGGATTCTTATAGGGTTAAAGCCGACCGACGAAAAAATGGACTCCAAAGTGTTATTTTGATATCCAAAATATTAATGAAATATAATTACGTTTTAAACATAGAACATTATGACAATTAACTTTGACATTATCATCTATTAATTTAGTCTTTATTATTTACTGAGATCCTTATTCGGTATGAATTAGATTATTAATTAATAAGTATTAATGTTAAAGATAAAGAAATATAATAATCTATTTTGGCATTAGCATTTATTTTCACCAGAAGCCAGGGTTTTGTATCTAGTTCTTCGAAGGCAAGTGCTAAGCTCTCTTCTGATGCGGCGCGCTTTCGTTTATACTTACCAGGTGTTTTGAGTAGGTATTTCTTTTATTAGTAAAACGAAATGCAAAAACACCAAGAAAAAAACATTGTCTTAGCTCGTTAAAAAAAATATTTTTTTAATGAGCGAAAAAATAATACAAATATATTTTTTAACGTTTTTTGCCCTAAGGCAACTATCCGCAAAAGTCAATCGGGCTACTATCCTTTTTGATATGGATATTTACCCTTTTTATTTAAGAAATAAATAAAAGATATTAAATAATAAAAACTTATAAACAGTACAATTTAAAACCAAATGTATGGAAAAACACAAAAATACCTGAAATTGTAATCAGTAATAAAAATATTTAACAGAGACTACTTATTAATATAATTCTGAAGCTCGTCAAAGCATCAAACGGCTTATGCGAAACCGAGACTTACGCGGGGGGCACTTCCATTTATAATCAAGTCCAAACACGATCAGCAACATAGTGTATTCGAAACTGAGGCAAGTATCCTTCCGAGGCAACTATCCGGCTTTTACCCTATAGATAATTTTTTATCGAGAAAGTTCTCATGTAAAATTATAAACAACAACACAAATATATTTACGTGAAGCCCCAATTAATAACATTTAAAGGTTCATATAAAAAATATATTGCTCATAATCATAACAATTATACAATGTATTGTAATAACATTTGTGACATTGTCTAGTACGAAAGTAGAGGCCAAAAATTAACTGTTGCGTTAGGAATTAAAAGTTCCCTAATCGGTTGATGGTCGAATTCCGTAAAAGATTCACTTTAGCCTAACACAATATATGAATAAAATTGTACTTCCAATTAATATTTAGCATTTTAGAAGAAACATGAATATGTATTCACAAATAAATTGTTCTTCGGTTTCGTAAGGTTCAAATTATTAATTGATGGAAAGCAAAATTTCTATAAGCTGCGAGATTTGATGTTTCAATAACAAATGCAGAGGAAGCCTTATTCGAAAACTAAAACTCTCTAAGATTGAGAATAAACTATTTAAAATAAATTTGTTGTAAATAGATTACCAACTCTAATTTTCTACTAAGATACGAGTATAAGTGAGTAAAACCAGGAAAATTCAGTTTTAAAACATGACGCAGTAGTACATTAGCACTAGGTCAATTTATATCTAGTGAAAATACATTGAACGAAATTCAAATAATGCATTTTGAAAGTGTTCGTTTAATAACAGAACGTACAAGGGTAGCTAGATAGATTCATGGACGTAAGAAATGCAATAGTGACCCACAAAATTTTAAAACACAAGTCGCCTAAACCTTCCAAGACATCCCAGGACACTATAAAAAGAGCTTTGGTGTTGAACCTCTAATACTATGATATGTTCGATGCAATATTAAAAAAAAGACACCCCAGAGCATGTCCTATGAAAACAGGACAGTTGGTAACCCTACTCTATAAGGACTTATAATAGCATACTTAAACAATAATTTTAGACTTGGTCTGCTTTTTATTTGACTTCTTACAAGAAGTCAATTAAATGAACACAATATTGTTTGACTTTGCACAGACGAATAAACTTTCTATAATATTGTATTATTGATTTTAAACAATTTAATAATGACTTCGACAAAGCTACAAGTATATTCCAACGATAGTACTTAATTCAGTATAAAAAGCAAAATTTCAAAAACAGTTCCTTTATAATAAAAAGAAAACTATCCTTTTTTAATTAGGAGAGTTATTTTAAACTTAATATATCATATTATTTGTCCAAAAAAATATATTTTTATGAATTGATATTTATTACTACATACTAAAATACTGGCGCCATCTAATGTTGATTATATAATTTAAAAATATTATCTTATATTAAAATTTTACAACATAAAATATCTAGATATATGTATATGAAAAATAAAAAAACTTTAGGACATTTCGGAATGTCTCATGTATCATGATATATATCGTAATAGAACATATCAACGGATATCTTCCTTCGAATCCTGTATTTTAAGCATTAAGTTCAAAATTATTTTAGTGGCTCTTTATAGTAACATGATGTCCTGACCTGTACATTGATGTGATGATAATGTGTACATTATTTATAGGGTTGTATCTAAAACATCTAAAAGATGGCCAAATTGAACTAGGTTAGTTCAATTCGGCGATCTAATACAGAGAATAAGAAACGTTTATCAAAAAAATATCTACATTGCAATATTGACTTCAAATAAATATTTATTTATTATAATTGTATTATACTGACCGTATTTTTTGTTGAAACTAGCCCCGTGGTTCAGGAAATCTGAAAATAAAATAACTGAACTGAATGGAATGAATGAACACTGTAGTAAATAAAATAACAAAAATCATACACTGTAAGAAATTAACAATGGATTGTGCACGAAATTGATAAAAATAACGATATGTTTAGGGTCGAGCGCTATTCAAAGCTAGTCTGCGGCTAGAGTCAGTAGTAACGTAACAAGAAAAAGACTTAAAGTCGTTGATGATTTTTTTCTTTTTATTGTTCGTTTTTCTAGGTAAGTAAGAAATAATATTTAAATAAATATTTAATGGATTGGGATTTTTTTATTTTACTAAAAATCAATAGCGTGACAGGGATTTTCTCGAGATTTGTTCTGCTCAACAAAAGGCATGCAAATCAACAGTCAACTCTAATATGAACTATTATGTATTAATTTTATTTGTAAAGTTCACTTTTCTAGAAAAAAAAAGAACATTAAAAAGAAATGTTTCTTATGTTTTGATAAAAAAATGTTATTTGCAACACTAGACAAAGTGACAAAATCATTTTATTTATTTAATGAATCTATCAAACCTTTTATATTATGATCACGATAAACATATCGTTTTGAGGGTCACGCATTTCAAATAATAAAAATGGCACCATTTATAGATCACTCTATTTTCTCCGAAACAAAGGACTTAGATGTTGAATATCATTTGGTTTAAAAATTAGAAAATTATTGTGTAAAAATTCAAATAAATAATAATGATTTTTCTTTTTCGTAAAATAGAAATGACTTTGAACTTTTAACAAATAAGAAATAAAACTTATCTCAAAGGAGGTTTTATTATTCAAGAGGTTTTCTGTAGGTTATTAAATGATAACCGCTCGATTTCAATAGCTATTTTAAGATAAGTAATGTTTCTCACGTTTCAAAAATCTAGAGTCTGTACTGTTTTCTGAACAAGAATGTTTTATTTATATTTTCCATAAATATAAAAAGGTACAAGAAAATCTCTACGATATCCGTAGTTTTAAAATTTTTATATTTTGGCAGACCGGGCCTTCTGTGCGCGAGTCCGATTCAATTTTAGCTGTTTTTTTTTATTATTGTTCAAATAAGGCATGTATTTTTCTTTATTATATTTTCTAAATTAATTAAATCTGACTAAATCAATGTAGATATGATAGACAACATCTAGAAAAACAAATATAATTCGAAAACTGAAATATCTAAAATAATTTCATAAATAACAATGTTTTTGCATCGATATTAATCCTATTAAAAGGTAGTTTCTAACTTTGTTTATAGGTGTATCCGATCATGAAAAAGCCTTCATTTAAGGGAAGCAACATCATAGAAAACAAAATAAACAAACATTATTATACATACGTATTGACATTTTCTTATGTCCAGTACATATTGTGTTCTGTGATAATTTAGGCTGTAACATACAGGTAAAGAAAAACAATATTGACGCGCACGCCATCTAACATTTTTACACGACGATTATTACTTAGTGGCTCAAAGAAGCCAGGTTTAGGTTTGCTTTCGCATTTGAGATATTTAAACCAAAGTAGAGATGGCGCTAATATGAACCTGTCATAAACTGTAAACTTTAAAAGTTGATGAAATGATATATTCAGACTAAAAACTTATTAAATTAACTGAAAATTTACATAAGGAGCTTCAATTACCATTCGGTTCAGATAAGTCATTGTTTAGTGCAATATTAATTTACGCAATAAATAATATCGTGTGTGTTTAAGTAATTTATAACAAATTAAAATATTTTTAGATGACAAAAACAAGAAAAAGCCTTTGGCTGCTTTTCGTACTAACGCCATCTGTCAATCTAGATAAGCAGTATTGTCACGTGCAAAACCTTATTCGTTCACATGTTCAGCTGCTATTCCGCTAGAGGCGCACTGGTCGTTTAGTCGTATAAAATTCTATCAAAATAAGCACTCACCGTTTCGGCTCATTATCACTTTTGTTTAAATAAAATTATAAAACCACTACTACAATAACTTATAAACAATAAACTGATAACTTTTATACGATTTCCATATAGTTTAAAACAAAGTTGGGATGTTATTATAAATTAAAAGTATGAATGCGAGGGCCGGTCACATGTACACAGTGTGAGAGGAGTGACAGCGCGCGTGATTGGTTGGCGCGATTGGAGGCGCGTCGGTGCAGCAGTGTTGAGCACGTGACATACGCACTCCCGCCGCATGGCGTCGCTACTGAGCTGTTTACGCGCCGTGTGACATAATTGTACGTAATATGAACAAGTGTTAGGTATTATTTGATAATGGCCGCGAGCCGGCAGGTTTGGCTCGCAAACGCAATGAGTGACTAACCTGTCATAATGTGCGGACGTAACTGGAATTTACTCTGGCTGCACTATAATGAAATGTTGACCTTGATTGGGACACAGCGCGCTATTTCTACACGGTTTCTTTATTAATAATAACAAATTTAGAACATGACCTAATTTTTTTGTTTTTGTAACCAGCTTATAAGGTAATAATATACATATAGTGCTGTTATTTAGAGAGACAAATAAAGATTATATATCATCTATTTAAAGACTCCTAATAAAGTTTATAGAACTTTGCAATAAAACTGCCCTAAAGTTCTATAAGTTTCCTAAAATGAAAATAAAATTTTTTTTTGGTTAATCTTTAACCATGAGATGGGCTACATACAAATCACATACAATAACTTTATGGAATCTACAAAAAGCGACTTGATGTAAGGAAGTCATCGATCTAAAGCCCATTTTTGGAAACGAAAACATGCCAACTTTTGAACTCTACATGACTCTACCCTTAATGTTTCAATGTTGACAGATTCCTATAAAGTGATGTGCTGTTGATTGAACATGGGACATCAGTACTAAGTGATGATCACAGGATTTCCATTTATAAATGAACACAAGATAGATATTATAAATAAAGTAAAGAATCGTCCAATTTTGATGTAAAAATTATCTAATGCGTCTAGTGATATAATAGGATTATCTCAATATGTAGCTTATTTTTTACTTATTTTATATCAGAAAATTAAATAAGCTTAGATTTTTATTCTATTTTAAGCAAAAAACTAATTTAAATTATCACTAATGACGGATATGATTTTTTACAGCATTGTTAAAAATTAATAATATTAACAGGTACGCATTGCAGATTAATATTATAACAACGTGACAAAAACAATTAATAACCATTCAACACCTGTAATAATCCTATTCTGTTAGAATACAGCTTCGAATTCAAATATGAGCGCAGAGTACCTATACTCTGGCAGAGCTGTCAGCGTTGAAATTCAATTAAATAAAATCTACTTGAGAATAAATGGTGTGATAGATTACACAGATATTAGTATAGATAGACTAATATTGTTAAGAGGAAAATTTTATTGTTCACAAACTATTGGACCGCTGTAATTTACGCAGGATAAATCGCGGGAAAACAAATAGTTTATTAAAAAATAGTGATAACATTCCATCTAAATATTAAAAGGTGAAACTATAGTTTAATTTTTTACTAAACTTACACGGTCGGTAGAGTGTGAAATTCGGCCTCTTGACCACTCTTTTTTAAAGCCAGATTAAAAAGATCGTTTAAAAAGTACGCACTGTATAGAAAGGTAAGATTTTACGAATTCTTTGCATGGAATGTAACTAACTACATATATTTCAACTAGGTGTTATTTTAGTAATAACCGCGGCGTCAACTATTCACTCGTCAGCGTCAAGGCCGGCGGCTACGTAGTCGCGAGCTCGTATGAAAGAAAATATTGTTGCGTATTACTAACACACGCAGGCTTAAACAGCAAAACATAGATAATAATTATCAAAAGTAAAAAAAATATGTTGGCCCAAAAAATGTATAATGCAGTCTGTGTGCTATCAGCAGTGTTATTCTGTTTAAAAACTGTTAAGGATCGCAGTGCGAACATTGTTCTGTGGCGAGTATAGAATCTACTTCAAAATGTCTGCCATAGCATAGAGATTCAAAATCAAATAAAACCTACTTCTAATGGCTTATAAAAGTTTTATTTCATTAAACCACAGGGCTGTTACAAAATTAGAGGTTCAATAAAACAGAACTTTTATTACTATCTGAATTAGGTTTTATTTTATTGAATTGAAATAGAATTCAATTCAATAAAATAAAACCTAATTCAGATCAGCACTGCTGAATTATCGAATAAAACATACATTCTAAGATCTTTATAAGAATCATAGTGACAAATGCAATAAGAAGAATACATTTAAATTGTCGAAAGTCCTGTTATATATTAAGCGTATGTGAATTTAAGAAAATCTGACTTGATACTTTTAGCAAGAACAGCAATTAGTTGTTGCTGAAAGTATCAGAAGTTTGTCAAATCGCAATGGTAGAAAACGTATGTTCTCAAATACTCCATCATTATCAACAGCCTAGTTACATAGTATAAAACTACATCTGCTGACCTCTTAACTACTAGGGTACAGTCGTTCCCTAGTTATGGAATCAATCAAATAGGGATGATCTTAAACCCACCACACAAACCCAGTACAGATTAATGGGTATTAACAACTGCATATGAAGCCGCAACCAACAGTCCAATATGCCAAAGACGTGCCTTCCACGGAGATAATAAATATTTGGCCACCAATCCTATGACCGATAGTTGCTAAAGTTGTTTAACCTGTGCATCACAGACTAAGCACGCTAGCTACCGCGCTATTGAGCTCATCGCAAACACCAGTGCTATTATTAGAAAAGGTTCTGCTTCACAGTAAATTTACGCTAAAATTGCAATTTTAGTAGGTAAAGTAGACTAATACGAGGGTCAAACTGAAAGTTCTTAGAAAATCAAAAACTGATTACATTAGCCAGTTATTAGTTTTATTATATCTTTTCAAAATATTGTCCATTCACGTCAATACACCGCTGCATGCGATGGAACCACTGGGAAAAGCACTTTGCCCACTCGTCCTTAGGGGTCTCTTCAATGGCATCGCGATACGCAGCCACCGCTTCTTCAGCATTCATAA